TTTCTGGAAAGGTGGATTTTTTTCTGGAAAGGTGGAGCTCAAACTGTTTGGGCACAGACCTGGATAGTATGATAGAGCTCTGCAGGCTATCTCTACAGTAGATTGCAACTCCACCCCCTTTGGCAGTTCTATCTAGACGGAAAATGTTGTAGTTGGGGATGGACATTTTCGAATTTTTGGTGGCCTTCCTAAGCCAGGATTCAGACACTGCTAGAACATCAGGGTTGGCGGAGTGTGCTAACGCAGTGAATATCTCAAACTTCGGGAGGAGGCTTCTGATGTTAACATGCAAGAAACCAAGGCTTTTACGGTTACAGAAGTCAACAAATGATAGTTCCTGGGGAGTAGGAGTGATACTGGGGGCTGCAGGGCCTGGGTTAGCCTCTACATCACCAGAGGAACAGAGGAGGAGTGGAATAAGGATACGGCTAAAGGCTTTAAGAACTGGTCTTCTAGTGCGTTGGGTACAGAGAATAAAGGGGGCAGATTTCCGGGCGTTAGAATAGATTCAGGGCATTATGGACAGACAAGGATATGGAAGGATATGAGTACAGTGGAGGTACACATAAGCATTGAGTAACTATGAAAGAGATAGCATCACTGGAGGCACCGATTGAGCCGGTCTCTGCGTGTATGGGGGGTGGAACAAAGGAGCTATTTGAGGCAGTTTGAGAGGGACTTGGGGCTCTACAGTGAAATTGTATAATAAGAACTAACTGGAACAGCAATAGGCAAGGCATATTGACATGGGAGAGAGGCATAAAGCAATCACAGGTGTTATTCGAGAGAGCTAAGACAACAACTGGTAATGGCGATGAAAGTTTGGGCTGAGGCTAAACAGATCAACAGGACAGGGTACCGTGTAAAGGAACAGTCCAGCAGGCATCAGCTGTGCAGCTGAGTGATCATAAGGTCCAGTGAACAGCAATATGTGAGTCAGAGAGCAGTTCGAATTGGTGCTATAGCACAGGCGAGCAGGAAGCACGGCTGTTGTTTGCATGTTCTAGCGGGCCGGGGCTAGCAGATGGATCTTCGTGGTCATCGCAACGGGAAGCCTGTTGAAACCACAGACGATTACGTCGGCAGACCAGTCATGATGGATCGGCGGGGCTCCGTGTCGACTCTAGGAGGTCCCGTCCGGTTGACAGAGAGGTAGATAGCCGGGAGATGGGCCTGACTCAAGGCCAGCTCAAGGCTGATTAGCCAACAACAACATCCATTTGGTTGCAGCTAGCTAGTTTGCGATGATTCGGTGTTAAAGGTCCAGTGATTCAGTGATTCCGGCAGAAAAAAAATCGTTATGTTCTGGGTCGATAATGCGCTGTGCAGACAGTGCAGACTGGCCGATAATAGTCCAGGATAGAGCTGGCTGGTAGGTAGTGCAGACAGTGCAGACTGTCCGATAATAGTCCAGGATAGAGCTGGCTGGTAGGTAGTGCAGGCCATGGACAATGGTGAAAAGCCGCTAACGGTGGCTAATAGCAAGTAGCTAGTTAGCTGGCTACTCCCGTCCGATAGATAGAGAGGTAGATAGCCGGGATATGGGACTGGCTCGAGGCTGCTAGTTGCGGCTAGCTAGTTGCAATCCGGTGTTAATGTCCAGTGATTCAGTTATTCCGGCAGAAAATCCGATGTTCTGGGTGAAAACCGCTAACGGTGGCTAATAGCAAGTTTCAACTGGAGATTCTAGATAAAAGATAAGTCAATAATAGAATCCGTTCCACATTGAGTGAGGCAGGAAAGTATATTTAGTAGAAGGATGAAAAGTGTGATAGGGAAATATGTACGAAAAATATTAACAAATACAAAAAAAACTGGCTATTTACACGGACACACAAGAGTACTGGACCGCTGTCACGCCCTGGCTCTGGGGACACTGTTATGTTGAGCCAGGGTGTGTAGATCTATGTATTCCATTTCTATGTTGGCCAGTGTGGTTCTCAATCAGAGGCAACGAGTGTCAGCTGTGGCTGGTTGTCTCTGATTGGGAACCACATTTAAACAGGCTGTTTGCCCACAGTGGTTGTGGGATCTTGTTCGTGTTGGTTTGTGTTTGACCATTGACTGTCACGTTATCGTTTTGTTGTTTTTTGATCGTGTATCATAAATAAAGAGTATGTTCGTCTGCAACGCTGCGCCTTGGTCCTCATCTCTTACCGACGATCGTGACAACCGCACTGCTACGCCATCTTGGATTCGAACATAGAACAATCAATAACACGACCAACCTTGGAACTATACTGAACAAAAATATAAACGCAACATGTAGAGTGTTTGTCCCATGTTTCATGAGTTGAAATAAAAGATCCCACAAATTTTCCATATTCACAAAAAGCTAATTTCTCTCAAATTTTGTGCACACATTTGTTCACATCCCTGTGAGTGAGCATTTCTCCTTTGCCAAGATAATCCATCCACCTGACAGGTGTGGCATATCAAGAAGCTTATTAAACAGCATGATCATTACACAGGTGCACCTTGTGCTGGGGACAATAAAAGGTAACTCTAAAATGTGAAGTTTTGTCACACAACACAATGCCACAGATGTCTCAAGTTTTGAGTGAGCGTGCAATTGGCATGCTGACTGCAGGAATGTTCAACAGATCTGTTGCCAGAGAATTTAATGTTCATTTCTCTATCATAAGCTGCCTCCAACGTCCAACCGGCCTCACAACCGCAGACCACGTGTAACCACGCCAGCCCAGGACCTCCACATCCGGCTTCTTCACCTGCGGGATCGTCTGAACCCAGCCACCCGGACAGCTGATAAAACTGAGGCGTATTTCTGTCTGTAATAAAGCCTTTTTGTGGGGAATAACTCATTCTGATTGGCTGGGCCTGGCTCCCCAGTGGGTGAGTCTGGCTCTCAAGTGAGTGGACCTATGCCCTCCCAGGCCCACCCATGGCTGCACCCCTGCCCAGTCATGTGAAATCCATAGATTATTGCCTAATGAATTTATTTCAATTGACTGATTTCCTTATATGAACTGTAACTTAGTAAAATCGTTTAAATTGTTACATGTTGCCGTTCATATTTTTGTTCAGTATAGTTGTAATAAACCAGAACCCTATAAATCCTGTCAACACACCATAATAAACCAGAACCCTATAAACCTGTCAACACACCATAATAAACCAGAACCCTATAAATCCTGTCAACCAAACAACCAAACCACCATAATAAACCAGAACCCTATAACCTGTCAACACACCATAATAAACCAGAACCCTATAAATCCTGTCAACACACCATAATAAACCAGAACCCTATAAATCCTGTCAACACACCATAATAAACCAGAACCCTATAAATCATGTCAACACACCATAATAAACCAGAACCCTATAAATCCTGTCAACACACCATAATAAACCAGAACCCTATAAATCCTGTCAACACACCATAATAAACCAGAACCCTATAAATCATGTCAACACACCATAATAAACCAGAACCCTATAAATCATGTCAACACACCATAATAAACCAGAACCCTATAAATCCTGTCAACACACCATAATAAACCAGAACCCTATAAATCCTGTCAACACACCATAATAAACCAGAACCCTATAAATCCTGTCAACACACCATAATAAACCAGAACCCTATAAACCTGTCAACCACACCATAATAAACCAGAACCCTATAAATCCTGTCAACACACCATAATAAACCAGAACCCTATAAATCCTGTCAACACACCATAATAAACCAGAACCCTATAAATCCTGTCAACACACCATAATAAACCAGAACCCTATAAATCCTGTCAACACACCATAATAAACCAGAACCCTATAAATCATGTCAACACACCATAATAAACCAGAACCCTATAAATCCTGTCAACACAGCATAATAAACCAGAACCCTATAAATCCTGTCAACACACCATAATAAACCAGAACCCTATAAATCCTGTCAACACACCATAATAAACCAGAACCCTATAAATCCTGTCAACACACCATAATAAACCAGAACCCTATAAATCCTGTCAACACAGCATAATAAACCAGAACCCTATAAATCCTGTCAACACACCATAATAAACCAGAACCCTATAAATCCTGTCAACACACCATAATAAACCAGAACCCTATAAATCCTGTCAACACACCATAATAAACCAGAACCCTATAAATCCTGTCAACACAGCATAATAAACCAGAACCCTATAAAACCTGTCAACACACCATAATAAACCAGAACCCTATAAATCCTGTCAACACACCATAATAACCAGAACCCTATAAATCCTGTCAACACACCATAATAAACCAGAACCCTATAAATCCTGTCAACACACCATAATAAACCAGAACCCTATAAATCCTGTCAACACACCATAATAAACCAGAACCCTATAAATCCTGTCAACACACCATAATAAACCAGAACCCTATAAATCCTGTCAACACACCATAATAAACCAGAACCCTATAAATCCTGTCAACACACCATAATAAACCAGAACCCTATAAATCCTGTCAACACAGCACTGCCATGATGTTGGAAGCACAGGACTCCACTGCTGAGGTCAGAGGTTACTTGTCTGAAGAACTCCTCCAGAAGTGATGCTGTCCAGCGGTGGTGTAGGGTTAGAGGTCAAGGGTTAGGGCTTAGAGGTCAGAGGTTACCTGTCTGAAGAACTCCTCCAGAAGTGATGCTGTCCAGCGGTGGTGTAGGGTTAGAGGTCAAGGGTTAGGGCTTAGAGGTCAGAGGTTACCTGTCTGAAGAACTCCTCCAGAAGTGATGCTGTCCAGCGGTGGTGTAGGGTTAGAGGTCAAGGGTTAGGGGTTAGAGGTCAGAGGTTACCTGTCTGAAGAACTCCTCCAGAAGTGATGCTGTCCAGCGGTGGTGTAGGGTTAGAGGTCAAGGGTTAGGGCTTAGAGGTCAGAGGTTACCTGTCTGAAGAACTCCTCCAGAAGTGATGCTGTCCAGCGGTGGTGTAGGGTTAGAGGTCAAGAGTTAGGGGTTAGAGGTCAGAGGTTACCTGTCTGAAGAACTCCTCCAGAAGTGATGCTGTCCAGCGGTGGTGCAGGTCCCATTTCTTAGCTGGGTGGCTGATATCAGCTGTATGAAGCAGCAGAGAGAGGGCTTTGGGTTTATCAATCCTGGTGGGCACACACACACACACACACACACGGTTAGATAGTTAGCAGCATATACAGGGCTTTGGGTTTATCAATCCTGGAGTAGGAGACAGAGAGATAGAAGGGTAAATCCGTGAAATCACAGCAGTCAGTCAGTATGTGGTGTAACAATGACAAGGTCAGAGTTCAGCCAGCCTGCTGCACCGGCACGACTTGGACTGTTTATTGCTGAACTCTGCTGATTGGGAATCTTTTTGAATATTACCACTCTCTCTCTCTCTCTCTCTCTCTCTCTCTCTCTCTCTCTCTCTCTCTCTCTCTCTCTGTCTGTCTGTCTGTCTGTCTGCGTGCATCATTGCAGCACCCTGCCCAGGGCAGCAGTGGTTGGCACTAAGGCAGCATGTTTCATTCTACATCACAGATATGGGACAAATCACAACCCTGGATCTCACACACACATTAAGAGAGGTTCAGATAATTACTTTTTACTGTGGAGTGTGTTTCGGTGAGTGTCTGTGTGTGTGTTCAAGGTGAATAAGTTCCATCAATGTCTCTCTTTGTTCTCGTGGCAACGGCAGCTAGAGACCCACTCAGACACAGTATTCATACAGCAGCTCAACACACAGGATGTTGACTGATCGCTAGTCACTACTGAAGGTTACAGGAACTAATGGAGGATCAGGACAGTGGTGACAGAGGAGAGAACAGGAACTAATGGAGGATCAGGACAGTGGTGACAGAGAGAACAGGAACGGGGGAGGAGATATAGAGTTATAGAGGGTTAGGGTTAGGGTTAGGTTAGGGTTAGGTTAGGGTTAGGTTAGGGTTATAGAGGAGCGGGAGGCTGTTAAGTCTCACCCCTCTGGTTGCTGGAGGAAGTTCTTCATATGTTTGACCTGCTGGAAGTGACAGGACATGTCTGTTGCCAGAACCATCTGTACTACTAGGCCCCTCAGCTCTCTACAGACAGACAGACAGACAGACAGACAGACAGACAGACAGACAGACAGACAGACAGGTTAGGGTTAGAGAGAGGAACAGGACATGTCTGTTGTCAGAACCATCTTTACTACTAGGCCCCTCAGCTCTCTGGGGAGACATTTGACATTGTCGAGAAGGAACCTGCAAGTAATCGTTTCATTGGACGATGTATACCAAGAATATCCTTTACAACTAATAAAACTTGAAACATGTTATTATTATTATTACTCCTATGACATGTTATTACACTCCTATTACTCCTATGACATGTTATTACACTCCTATTACTCCTATGACATGTTATTACACTCCTATTACTCCTATGACATGTTATTACACTCCTATTACTCCTATGACATGTTATTACACTCCTATTACTCCTATGACATGTTATTACACTCCTATTACTCCTATGACATGTTATTACACTCCTATTACTCCTATGACATGTTATTACACTCCTATTACTCCTATGACATGTTATTACACTCCTATTACTCCTATGACATGTTATTACACTCCTATTACTCCTATGACATGTTATTACACTCCTATTACTCCTATGACATGTTATTACACTCCTATTACTCCTATGACATGTTTATTACAATTTATGAATGTCTCACCTCCAGTCGTCGTTAGACAGGTTGCATAGTATGTTGATCTCACCATCGTCCTGTAGGAGGCGGTATGCTGCGCTGACATGGTGGCTCTCTAAGACTGACCGGTCATTGTACAGGATCGCTGTGTCTGATCTGGAGACATGCTCATAGTTTCAGCTAACATATTTTTTCCCATTGAGATACACTGAATTAGTTTTCTGTTTAACTCAGTGTGGATTTCATCCTCTCCTTCTAATCAGGGACTGATTCAGACCTGGAATGGATCAGTTAGATCAGTAATCTATTACCTGGTCTGGATCTGTTAGATCAGTCATCTATTACCTGGTCTGGATCAGTTAGATCAGTCATCTATTACCTGGTCTGGATCTGTTAGATCAGTCATCTATTACCTGGTCTGGATCTGTTAGATCAGTCATCTATTACCTGGTCTGGATCAGTTAGATCAGTAATCTATTACCTGGTCTGGATCTGTTAGATCAGTCATCTATTACCTGGTCTGGATCAGTTAGATCAGTAATCTATTACCTGGTCTGGATCAGTTAGATCAGTCATCTATTACCTGGTCTGGATCTGTTAGATCAGTCATCTATTACCTGGTCTGGATCTGTTAGATCAGTAATCTATTACCTGGTCTGGATCAGTTAGATCAGTAATCTATTACTTGGTCTGGATCTGTTAGATCAGTCATCTATTACCTGGTCTGGATCTATTAGATCAGTAATCTATTACCTGGTCTGGATCAGTTAGATCAGTCATCTATTACCTGGTCTGGATCTGTTAGATCAGTCATCTATTACCTGGTCTGGATCTGTTAGATCAGTAATCTATTACCTGGTCTGGATCAGTTAGATCAGTAATCTATTACTTGGTCTGGATCTGTTAGATCAGTCATCTATTACCTGGTCTGGATCAGTTAGATCAGTCATCTATTACCTGGTCTGGATCTGTTAGATCAGTCATCTATTACCTGGTCTGGATCAGTTAGATCAGTCATCTATTACCTGGTCTGGATCTATTAGATCAGTAATCTATTACCTGGTCTGGATGTGGAAGGTGTTGGTGGTTCCAGTGTGTTCGTAGTCGTGAACCGCTGCTGCAAAGATCATGGCAAAGATCTCTAGCTCGGTCAACCAATGCTGCGTCAGACAGAAAGAGAGATGGAGTAAATAGACCACAAAGAAAGAATGGAAAGGGAGAAGAGGGTGTGGAAATGACATCATATCCTGTTCTATCAGCCAGTTAAACATCATATCCTGTTCTATCAGCCAGTTGAACATCATATCCTGTTCTATAGTCTCCAACACCATCCATCCATGATGAACCTGTTCTGCACTGAAGTCAAGCCTCTGAACACCTCAACTCATCCCTCATACCCTCATTCAATCACTGCTGTGATCCCTTCCCAACACTGTGGAAGTAGCCCTCTCATTCACATTCCCCATAATATTGTACTATAAATGTCTTTATTAAATGCTTTAGGTTAAAATAATTCGTATTTGATGATTTTTTAAACACGCTTTTTTGTCATCTCCGAGCGATCCGCGCCTATACCTCCTCAATGTCTTAAGTCACCAGCCTCCACTGGTATGTCTATGAGGAGACTACAGGATGGAATATATAACCCTGAGGAGACTACAGGATGGAATATATAACCCTGAGGAGACTACAGGATGGAATATATAACCCTGAGGAGACTACAGGATGGAATATATAACCCTGAGGGGACTACAGGATGGAATATATAACCCTGAGGAGACTACAGGATGGAATATATAACCCTGAGGAGACTACAGGATGGAATATATAACCCTGAGGAGACTACAGGATGGAATATATAACCCTGAGGAGACTAGAGGATGGAATATATAACCCTGAGGAGACTACAGGATGGAATATATAACCCTGAGGAGACTACAGGATGGAATATATAACCCTGAGGAGACTACAGGATGGAATATATAACCCTGAGGAGACTACAGGGTGGAATATATAACCCTGAGGAGACTACAGGATGGAATATATAACCCTGAGGGGACTACAGGATGGAATATATAACCCTGAGGAGACTACAGGATGGAATATATAACCCTGAGGAGACTACAGGATGGAATATATAACCCTGAGGAGACTACAGGATGGAATATATAACCCTGAGGGGACTACAGGATGGAATATATAACCCTGAGGAGACTACAGGATGGAATATATAACCCTGAGGAGACTACAGGATGGAATATATAACCCTGAGGAGACTACAGGATGGAATATATAACCCTGAGGAGACTACAGGATGGAATATATAACCCTGAGGAGACTACAGGATGGAATATATAACCCTGAGGAGACTACTGGATGGAATATATAACCCTGAGGAGACTACAGGATGGAATATATAACCCTGAGGAGACTACAGGATGGAATATATAACCCTGAGGAGACTACAGGATGGAATATATAACCCTGAGGAGACTACAGGATGGAATATATAACCCTGAGGAGACTACAGGATGGAATATATAACCCTGAGGAGACTACAGGATGGAATATATAACCCTGAGGAGACTACAGGATGGAATATATAACCCTGAGGAGACTACAGCATGGTGTGCGAGCCTCACAAGGCCGCAGGGCCAGACGGATTACCATGATGCCAGTCTTCAGCAGTAGATGGTGTACTGTCTGAGTAACATAGAGGATGTCTCACCATGATGCCAGTCTTCAGCAGTAGATGGTGTACTGTCTGAGTAACGTCTGCAGCGTGCATCAGGTTATGGTAAGGGTTGTTGTGTTTACTGTAGCCCTCCTCCAGAGCTTCTACGAACGAGACCACGGCTGAGATGGGGATCTGAAGACACACACACAGGCACACAGATGCACACACACACACACACACACACACACACACACACACACACACACACACACACACACACACACACACACACACACACACACACACACACACACACACACACATACACACACACACACACACACACACACACACACACATACATACACACATACATTTGATATGATTGGGCATTCATGTCCATTCCAAAACAGCGGTGATATCATATTGAATTATCCTGACTGTTTCCACACCTTCTCATCTGAAGGACACTTCATCAAAACAATGGATCCAGATGTCCATTCAGAGAGAGAGTCTGTCCAGACTACAATACCTCTCTAATCTCATCGTCCACATAGCAACAATCTACCACATAGTTCACTCATTAATAGACTTCATCCATTCATACAACACAAGAAATCCTGTTCCATCAACCACAAATTAGAAACAGTAGAGATGAAATGACATACTGCTGGTGCTCTGTGGGAATAAAGGAACGGGTGAAAAATACTGTGTTTTATTTAGGCCTGTCCAATGCAAGAGAAGAGAGCAGAAAAACAGAGCCATTATAAACTGATGGGAACGTATATTATCTCAGCTACTGCAACTGGCAATCTATTGTACCTTGAATCTGCTGATGAGGTCGTATCTGTTAAGTAGTTCGTAGAAGATGAATTTGAGAGCGTGGTCTCCACTGGCCTCGTTCAGAGCAAACACATCAAACGACCACTTATCAACGTGCTGCAGGAAACATTAAAGACACAATATTAACAACAGGAGGAGAGACCCCAACCCTAACTTCTGGCCTCATTCAGCTAGAAAGACAGACAGATATGAAACAACATATTCATGGAAAGTTGTTGGGAGGAGACAGGACAGATATGAAACAACATATTAATGGAAAGTTGTTGGGAGGAGACAGGACAGATATGAAACAACATATTAATGGGAAAGTTGTTGGGAGGAGACAGGACAGATATGAAACAACATATTAATGGAAAGTTGTTGGGAGGAGACAGGACAGATATGAAACAACATATTAATGGAAAGTTGTTGGGAGGAGACAGGACAGATATGAAACAACATATTAATGGGAAAGTTGTTGGGAGGAGACAGGACAGATATGAAACAACATATTAATGGAAAGTTGTTGGGAGGAGACAGGACAGATATGAAACAACATATTAATGGGAAAGTTGTTGGGAGGAGACAGGACAGATATGAAACAACATATTAATGGGAAAGTTGTTGGGAGGAGACAGGACAGATATGAAACAACATATTAATGGGAAAGTTGTTGGGAGGAGACAGGACAGATATGAAACAACATATTAATGGGAAAGTTGTTGGGAGGAGACAGGAGAACAGAGAGCGGTTTATTTGTCTTAGTGTTTCATATTCTGAGTGTGTGTTTTACCTTCAGTACTGCTATAACAGTAGGAGGGCAGCTGAGTCCCACCAGGTTAGAACTACGTCTGTACATCCTGGAAGTAAAGGTCAAATAAACCTCAGTGTTTTTAGTCTTCGACTAATAAGAACAGATCACAGCTGCAGTGAGTCTGGTTTGGGAACCCTGACATGTATTAGAATGGGAATGCATCTAGTATATATGAACATGATGACGTGTGTGTGCGTGTGTGTATGTATATGTGTGTGTATGTGCGTGTGTGTATGTCTATGTGTGTGTATGTGCGTGTGTGTGTGTGTGTACTGAGTGATGGTTCTCACCCAGCTTCGTCGGGCTGGGATGAATGGACACACAGTGCTGATATATGGTTGAAAGCTCGGTACACCCTGAATCAGTCTGAACAGTGACTGGTTGTTAGATTGGATTTGGAAACTGCAGCAGCAGAGACACATCCTTCAACAACACTGTCTACCTCCCAAATGGGACCCTAATCCCTACACAGTGCACTCCTTTTGACCAGAGCCACCAGAGCGCTATGGGACCCTAATCCCTACACAGTGCACTCCTTTTGACCAGAGCCACCAGAGCGCTATGGGACCCTAATCCCTACACAGTGCACTCCTTTTGACCAGAGCCACCAGAGCACTATGGGACCCTAATCCCTACACAGTGCACTCCTTTTGACCAGAGCCACCAGAGCACTATGGGACCCTAATCCCTACACAGTGCACTCCTTTTGACCAGAGCCACCAGAGCGCTATGGGACCCTAATCCACAGTGCACTACTATGGTACGTGGTCAAAAGGAGTGCACTGTGTAGGGAATAGGGTGACGTGTGTGACAATAGAGGGTCTGGTGAGGCTTTATTAAAACACGACAGAGAAGCTAGAGGTGTGTGTAATTCCTCCTGTGATTGTTTACCTCTCTACGAAGATACCAGCCTGCACAGCGTGAACGATGCTCCTGAAGCGCGGTTTCTCCTCGGTCTGCCGCATCAAACCCATCTGACGGGTGAATGTAGATGCCAACCAATCACGCACCTCTGAAGGCACAGACTCTGATTGGATATCGCTCAGCTCATCCTCTGTATCGACCAATCGCCTGGAGGGAGAGAGGGAGGAGGGTGAAAGGTGGTTGATCTTTTTTATTAAACTTTTACTACAGTCCGATGACATGGAGATAGATCAATATATAGGGTTTCAGTCAGATGATACGGAAATAGATCAATATATAGGGTTTCAGTCAGATGATATGGGAGATAGATCAATATATAGGGTTTCAGTCAGATGATATGGAGATAGATCAATATATAGGGTTTCAGTCAGATGATATGGAAATGGATAGATCAATATATAGGGTTTCAGTCAGATGATATGGAGATAGATCAATATATAGGGTTTCAGTCAGATGATATGGAGATAGATCAATATATAGGGTTTCAGTCAGATGATATGGAGATAGATCAATATATAGGGTTTCAGTCAGATGATATGGAGATAGATCAATATATAGGGTTTCAGTCAAAAATTTTGGGTTTCAGTCAGATGATTGGAGATAACAATTTATGGGTTTTCATCAGATGATATGGAGATAGATCAAAAAATGGGTTTTCCCGGTCAGTTATTGGGGGATAGATAAATATATAGGGTTTTAGTCAGAGGATATGGAATAGATCAATAATGGGGGTTTCAGCGGGAGATATGGAAATAGATCAATTTTAAAGGGTTTTCAGTCAGATAAATTGGGAAAAATAGTAAAATATAGGGGGTTTTTCAGGCGATGATAGGGAAAAATGATCAAAATATGGGGTTTTCGTCAGATGATAGGGAGTTTAGATCAAATAAAAGGGTTTCAGTCAAGAAGGGGAGATAGATCAATATTAGGGTTTCAGTCGGATGAAAAGGGGATAGATAAAATATGGGGTTTCAGCCCAATGATATGGAGATAATCAAAAATTAGGGTTTCAGTCAGATGATATGGAGATGATAAATATAAGGGTTTCAGCAGATGATAGGGAAATTGATCAATATATAGGGTTTTAGTCAGATGATATGGAGATAGATCAATATATAGGGTTTCAGTCAGATGATATGGAAATAGATCAATATATAGGGTTTCAGTCAGATGATATGGAAATAATTCAATCTTGGGGGTTTCAGTCAGTCATATGATGGATCAATCTAAGTGGCTTCAGTCAGATTATAGGGAGATACATCAATCTAGGGGGTTTCAGTCAGATGATATGGAGATAGATCAATCTAGGGGTTTCAGTCAGATGATATGGAAATAGATCAATATATAGGGTTTCAGTCAGATGATATGGAAATAATTCAATCTTGGGGGTTTCAGTCAGTCATATGATAGATCAATCTAAGTGGCTTCAGTCAGATTATAGGGAGATACATCAATCTAGGGGGTTTCAGTCAGATGATATGGAGATAGATCAATCTAGGGGTTTCAGTCGTTTGAAATGGAAATAGATAAATTTAAAAAGGGTTTTCAGTCAGAGATATGGAAAATTTAAATTTTGGGGGGGTTTCAGTCATTCTTTTGTTTAGACCCAATCAAAGTGGTTTCCCGTCAATTATGGGAATACTTTCAACTGGGGGGTTTTTGGTTTTCAGAGATAGGGGAGATAATAAATTTCTAGGGGGGTTTCCCGTCAGATAAATTAGGGAAAAAGGACAAATAAAAAGGGTTTCATCAGCTGATAGGGAAAAAATTCAATTTGGGGGTTTTTCAGTCATTCATTGATAAGATCAATCAAGTGGCTTGTCAATTATGGGGAGATCACCCAATTGGGGGGTTTCAGTCAAAATTGATTTTGGAATAGTTTAAATTGGGGGTTTCAGTCAGATGTTTGGAAAAATAGATCAATATATAGGGTTTTTCGGGCAGATGAGATGGAAATAATTCAATTTTGGGGGATTTCGGGTCAGTCTTTTGATGATCAATCAAAAGTGGCTTCAGCAGATTATGGGGAGATACATCAATCTAGGGGGTTTCAGTAAATTTTTGGAGAAAAGATCAATCTAGGGGTTTCAGTGGGATAAAGGGGGATATCTTAAATCTGGGGGGTTTTAATCAGATTTTTAGGGGAAAAGATCAATTTAGGGATTTTAGTCGATGTAGGGAGTTTAGTTAAATAGGGGGGGTTTTTTTCGGGCCCAATGAAAAGGGAGATTGAAATCAAAGGGGGTTTCATCAGATAAGGGGGGAGAAAATTTAAAATTGGGGGGTTAAATCAGTCAGATATTTTAGATAGTTTAAAATCAAAGGGGGTTTTTCAGCCAGATAAGGGGGAGAAAATTTTAAATTTCGGGGGGGGTTCAATCGTCAGAGTTTATGGAGATGATAAAATCTAGGGGGTTTTTTTCAGCCAGTTAATGGGGAGAAAATTCAATCTGGGGGGTTTTCAGTCAGTTGATGGGGAGAAAATTTAAAATCTAGTGGGGTTAAATCATAGTTTATATGGAATCTTTAAACTGGGGGGTATAGTAAATTTTATAGGGGGGAAGGTTTCACTTTGGGGGGCTTTAGTCGATGATATGGGAGATAAATCTAGGGGGGTTTTGGGTTTCAGATTATAGGTAGAATTAAATTCGGGGTTTTTTAAAATAGATTAAAAGGGGAGAAAAATAAATCGGGGGGGTTTTTCACCCAGAAAATAGGGAGAAAAAACAATCTAGGGGTTTCAGCCCGCCCCCCCCCAAAAATGATAGGGAGGAAATTAATAAATCTGGGGGGTTAGTCAAATTATAGGGAGAAGATCAATCGGGGGGTTTTTTCAGTCGGGAATGTAGGGAGGATAGTTAAAACTAGGGGGTTTTAGTCGATTATAGGGAGATTTTAAAAATCTGGGGGGTTTCAATCAGTCAGGGGATATAGAATAGATAAACGGGGGGGTTTTTCAGTCAGATAATTTGGAGAAAAATTAAATCAAAGGGGGTTTTTTTATTCAATTATGGGGAAAATCCACCCAATATGGGGGGGTTTTCAGCCAAAAATTGGGAGATTTTTAAATCTTTTTGGGGTTAACCCTTTCCAATGATATGGAGATAGATAAATCTGGGGGTTTTCCCAGTCAGTCAGAGTTTGGGAATAAAAGGTGTCAATCTTGGGGGGTTTTCCAGTCAATGAAGGGAAATAGATCAACCAAGGGGATTCTTTCAGATGCAAAGGGAGATTTTTCAATTTTAGGGGGTTTCAGTCCTTGATTTTGGAGTTTAGATAAAATCGGGGGGATTCATTTTAAAAAAGATAGGGAAAAATTTAAAAATTAGGGGGGTTTAGTCAGATTTATAGGGGGATAAACAATTTGGGGGGGTTTCATTCAGATGATTGGATATGTCAATCTAGGGGGATTCAGTAAATTTTAATATAGAGTATTCAATCTGGGGGGTTTTAGCCCAGTTTAAAAGGGAAAATAAAATAAATATGGGGGGTTTTCAGCCTAATGGGGAAATTTAAAAATTAAACCCTATTGGGTTAAATCAGTCAATGAATAAATGAGATAGATAAATCTAGGGTTTCAGTCAGTCAGATATTTTGGAGATGGGATCAATCTATGGGGTTTAGTCAGATGTAGGGAGATAGATCAATCCGGGGGGATTTTCAGTTTTAAGGGAAGAAAATTTCAATCGGGGGGGGGGGTTCGGGCAATGTTTATGGAGATAGATAAATTGGGGGGTTTTTAGTAGTTATAGGGAGATAATCAATATAGGGGGTTTCAGCCGGGATAATGGGAGAAAATTAAATCTAGTTTTTTTCAATCAGCCCCGGGATGATTTGGAATAAAATCAATTGGGGGGGTTTCCCTAAAATGATATGGAAAAATTTTCCCAATCTAGGGGGGTTTATTTCAGATTTGGGGAAAAATTAAATCTAGGGGGGTTTTCAATCAGTCAGAGAAAATGGAGATAGATAAATTTCTGGGGGGTTTTCAGTAAAAAATGTTTGGGAGTAATTAAAATTTTAGTCAAGGGATAGTGAGATAGTCAATCTGGGGGTTTTCAGTCAGTCAGTTTGATATGGAAAATAAAATAAAATCAAAGGGGTTTTTCATTCAGATGGGGGGAAAATAGTTCAATCCAGGGGGTTTCCCGTCAGATGCTAGGGAGATATTTTCAATCTAGGGGGTTTCAGTAAAATATGATTGGGAAGATCAATCTGGGGGGTTTTTCAGAAAAATTAAGGGGAATAATTAAATTTCTGGGGGGGTTTTTGGTCGATTAAGGGAAATAAATCAATTTGGGGGTTTTTCAGTCAAAATGATAGGGATATAAAATTAAACCCGGGGGATTAGTCAGTTAAATAAGAGAAAATTTTCAATCTGGGGGGTTTTAGTCAGATTATAGGGAAAAACCTCAAAAAGGGGGTTTTTCAGCCAGATAATGGGAGATAATTAAAAAATTTTGGGGTTCAATCATTCACATGATAGGAGATAGATAAATCTGGGGGGTTTCAGTCAGTCAGATGATAGGGAAAAGATAAATCGGGGGGGGGTTTCAGTCGTTTGATGGGAGATGATAAATTTTTAGGGGGTTTCATTCAGTTTAAATAGGGGGATAACTCATCTAGGGGGTTCAGTCATATATAGGGAAAGATAGACCCAATTCTGGGGGTTTTTAGTCGATTTGGGAGCACCCCAATATAGGGGGTTTTTCACCAAAAATGGGGAATTTTTTAAAATCTGGGGTTTTTTCAATCAGTCGATGAAAATGGGATAGTAAATCTGGGGGTTTTTTCAGTAAAATGTAGGGGAAAAAATTTAAATTGGGGGGTTTGGGTCGATTATAGGGAGAAAATTAAAATTTCTAGGGGGTTCAATCAGTCAGTTATTGGAGATAGATAATCTAGGGGTTTCATTAAAATGAAGGGAATAATTTAAAATTTAGTCAGATGATAGTAAATAGATCAATCAGGGGTTTCAGCAGTCAATGATAGGAGAAGATAAATCTAGGGGGTTTCAGTCAGATGAAGGGAAATAGATAAAATCCAGGGGGATTCAGCCCAGATGCTAGGGAAATATTTCAATTTTGGGGGGTTTCAGTCATATAAATATGGAGATGATAAATTTCTAGGGGGATTAAATTTTAAAATGATATGGAGGTTAATTAAATTTGGGGGGTTTTTTATTTCAGATTATAGGGAATAAATAAATTTAGGGGGTTTC